GGTCCCTTCTGACAATATGTCTGAAGAATGAGAGATCAAGTTTGGCCATCTTGGCCTCCAAGGAACACTCTGGCTACACTTAGTCCAAAGCGGATCTATTGGTTCTTTTGGCAGTCCATGGCACTTTCAATATTCTCCTCCACCACCATAACTCACAAGCATCAATTCTTTTATGGTCTTCCTTATTGACTATCCAGCTTTTGCATGCATACGAAGTTATTGAAAATACCGTGGCTTGGGTCAGGTGCACCTTAGTCCTCAAGTTGACATCTTTGCTCTTCAACACTTTAAAAAGGTCTTGTCCAGCACATTTGCCTAATGCAATACGTTGTTTGATTTCTTGACTGTTACTTCTGTGAGTGTTGATGATTGATCCAAGAAGAATGAACTCCTTGACAACTTCAATCTTTTCTCCATTGAATGTTGTTTATTGGCCCAGTAGTGAGGATCTTTGTTTTCTTTACATTGAGATGTAATCCATATGGAAGGCTGTGCTCTTTGATCTTCATCAGTAAATGTTTTAATTCCTCTTCACTTTCAGCAAGCCAGGTTATATCATCTGCATATCACAGGTTGTTAATGAGTCCTCCTTCAATCCTGACACCACGTTTTTGTTGATATAATCCAGCTTCTCAGATTATTTGCTTAGCATACAGGTTGAATAAGTATGGTGAAAGAATACAACCTTGTCACACACCTTTCTTAATGTTAAACCACTCAGTGTTCTCATTTTCTGTTTGAACAACTGCCTCTTGGTCCATGTACAAATTCCACATGAGCACAATTAAGTGTTCCGGAATATGATCCACACAATCGAAAGCCTTTGCATAGTCAATAAAGCACAGATTTTGAATTGTTTCCAATGCTGTATCTATCTTATTGGATTGTTGCTGTAGCATTTTCCTGATTTCTTCCTTATTTTTCTCAACCCTTCTGTGGAGCATTTGTATGCACTGCAATATCATTCTCCTTAATTCCTTCTCAGGCAGCTCCAAGGCCTGCCCTCCTTCTAATGGGAAGTTTAGGTTTACCTTCAGCTCATTTGTTTCAGCTTCTCTGTCTTGTTTCTGGACATGAGCTGAGATACTCCATTATGTTTTGGGCATTTTCAGTAATTAGATGTATTTTCAATATTTAGATAAATGTATGTTGGTTCATTATTAAGCCTTCTGATTGCTTCCTGTTAGAAGTGATCAGGAGATGAGCTTACCATTTCACTTTTCTTATTACTCAACTCAGAGTAATTTTAGAAAATCTGACTATCTTTCTGATGTGTTGTTGTTGTTAGGTGACATCGAGTCGGTACCGACTCATAACAAACTTATGCACAGCAGAATGAAACATTGCCCGATCCTGGACCAACCTCACTATCATTGCCACACTTGAGCCCATTGATGCTGCCATTTTGCTAATCCAACTTGCTGAGGGTCTTCTTGTTTTTCTCTGACCCTCCACCATACCAAACATGGTATCCTTCTCCAGTGACTGGTTCCTCCTAATAATATGTCCAAAGTATGAGAGGTGTAGTTTGGCCATCCTGGCCTCCAAGGAGCACGCTGGTTGTTTACTTCTTCCCACACAGATCTGTTTGCTCTTTTGGCAGCACACGACACTTTCAATATTAGCCTCCAACACCATAACTCAAATACATCAATTCTACGGTCTTCCTTATTTACTGTCCAGCTTTTGCATGCATATAAGTTTATTGAAAATACCATGGCTTGGGTCAAATGCACCTTAGTCCTCAACCTAACATCTTTGCTCTGCACAACTTTAAAAGGTCTTGTGTAGCAGATTTGCCTAATGCAATATGTCATTTTATTTCTTGACTGCTGCTTGCATGAGTGTTAATAGTTGATCCAAGAAGAATGAAGTCCTTGACAACTTAAATCTTTTCTCCATTGATAAGAATGTTGTTTATTGGTCCAATGGTGAGGATTTTAATTTTCTTTACATTGAGATGTAATCCATACTGAAGGCTGTGCTCTTTGATCTTCATCAGTAAATGTTTTAAGTCCTCTTCACTTTCAGCAAGAAAGGTTGTATAATCTGGTGTGTAGTAGCTGGTATTTGCTCTTGACAGGATGAGAGGAATTTATAGGTTGTGATTGTAGCTTGGTTGTATTATCATAATTACAGTCTCTTCCTGGGTAATGTAAAAATTTAATTTTAATTTACATATAGTAGAATGTTTACAGCCTTTGTCATTAAGTAGCATTCAGTCTATTTATATTTTGATTACTGATTTTTTATTCATTTTCATAATCTTATTTTTTATTTCTATTATTTTGAGCACCCCTAAGATAAAGGAAAACCCCCAAAAGAAAGAAAAGAAAACAGAACAAAAAATCAAACAAGGAAATAAAAAAACCCCATGACACTAAAGTCTATAATAGCCATAAAAACAAAAACCTGGACCAAAATATGAGTAAGACTTTAACATCTCTTTTCAGTGCTTCTTGCCTTCCAGGCTGTCTGAGAAGTTTCAGTATGTTGCCGTTGCTCCTCATGATATAACTCAAGATTTGGGTTTTGGCCTTTCTCCATTTTTGACTCTCTCTCACTCCTCAATCCCATTAGCATGTATATCCTTGTAAGAAACAACCCAGGGCTGGTCACAGCAGTTTTTGGAAAACATCTTTTTAAGCTTTTCCTCTTTACTCCCCCACTTCTTCTATTCTGCACCGAGTGGTCTTTGCTAAGCAGATCCATGCACATGCATAGTAAAACCCTCTTGAGGTAAGGGAGGTGTCCATTTGTTCAGGCATACCCCCTCTAGTCATCAGAGTGGGAATGCACATACAGAGAAAGTTAAATGACTAGAAGAAAAATGTTTACACCTTTATATCCGATGATTTACCAGACCCTTGAAATGAGGGCTCTGCTTCGATCCTTCACCCACTCTGTCACACTGAAGATGGCTGATCCGGGATCCACTGGCAGCCTTAGATCAGAAAATACCACCTTTCTTGATTCTACTGCAAATCCCAGTAGCAGTAAGCCTTCAATCCTTTTAAATATTCTTTATACATAGTTCATAATTCCAGGACTATCCCCTGAACCTGCTTCGTCTGGTATTCTGTGTTGTTACTTACAGAGGTCTGCATGGCATCTCTTCCTAATCCACCATGTCCTCTTTTCTATCGACTTTAATTTCTGGCATCTGGCTAATGCTGTATTTCTGCAACCTTTTTTGAATTGTCTTTGGCAAAATGTTACTTGCATGCTACATTAATGATACTGTTTGATGAACTACACATTTAATTGGGTTATCTTTTTTTGAAATAGGTACAAATATGGGTCTCTTCTAAAGGGCTGCCTGGTAGCTGTTTTGTATATTATAGCAAACTATTTTTTATCACATCTTGTTTTTGTTTTTACAGATAATTT